TCCAGGTTAGGGTGGATTGGTCATGCTAAATTGTCCCATAGTGCCCAGGTCTGGAGTCACATGTAGGCCAGACCGAGTAAGGATATCAGCTTCCTTCCCTAAAGGGCATTAGTGAACCAGATGGGGTACAATCTACAATCTACAATCTACAATCGATTCATGGTTATCATTAGATTCCTCATTCCAGTATTTTGTTGAATCCAGATCCCAACCATCTGCTGTGGTGGGATTCAAACCCAGGTCCCCAGAATGTTATCTGGGGCTCTGGATTAACAGTCCAGTGATAATACCACTAGGCCATCACCTCCCCAACTATATGTCCTGCCCTGATTTGCCCATCTGTGTCCTTGTGTTGCCGTTCTGCGTACATATGTTTCTGTGCCTGTCGGAATGTGCTAGCTCGCAAGGCAAGGAGAGAACATGTACCAGTGGGCTGCTATGTTTCAGAGAGAGAGAGGTTATGTGGGTGTGAATATGTGCAGAAGAAAGTGCAGCAATGAAAGGGACTATGTATTTAAGAATGAAATGTGGCTGTGTGTTAGAGTGCATGGGGTTGTCTGTGTGAATTGCTGTAAATGTGGGATGATCTGTGTAGTAGGAGGTATGCCTGAACTCATCTGAAAACATGCAATGGAATGGAATCAGGTTCATTCATAAATAGGGAATGAAACTGACAAAAAACAACTTGGAATAGCACACAGAAGTACCAATTGGTCCACATAAACACAGTGGCTACAAGACCAGGTCAGAGGCTGGGAATTCTGCAGCGAGTAACTCATCTCCTGACTCCTCAAATCCTGTCCCACCATCTACAAGGCACAAGTCAGGAGTGTGATGGAATAGTCCCCTCTTGTCTGGTTGGGGGCTGCTCCAACAACACTCAAGAAGCTCGACACCATCTAGGACAAAGCATCCTGTTTGATTGGCACCACATCCACAAACATCCCACTCCCTCCCCCACCAACGCTCAGTCGCAGCAGTGTGTACCATCTACAAGATGCTCTGCAGAAATTCACCAAAGATCCTCAGGCAGCACCTTCCAACCCCACTACCCACTTTCATCCATAAGGACAAGGGCTGCAGAAACATGGGAACACCACCCCCCTGCAAGTTCCCCACCGAGCCACTCATCATCCTGACTTGGAAATATATCGTCGTTCCTTCAGTGTCGCTGGGTCAGAATCCTGGAATTCCCTCCCTAAGGGGACATTGTTGGTCAACCCTCAGCACATGGACTGCAGCAGTTCAAGGAGGCAGCTCACCCCCACCTTCTCAAGGGGGGCAACTAGGGACGGGTAATAAATCCCAGCCAGAGACATCCATGTCCCATGTGTGACTAGAACAGAACAATGTTGCAACTGTGTTTTTTAACAGTAATGAGCCTCTGGCAGATGGGTGGATAACCAGGGACCACAGATCATAGAAATCAACAAAGAATGAGGGTAGAGATGAGAGGAAATTATTTTTTATCTTTAAAGTTAATTTTTATCTTTATTGTAAGTTAATCTTTATTGTTGGGAAGTTCAACCTGAAGATGCGACAGAAGTAGATTTAATGATGACTTTCAGAATTTAATTGACCAAAGACCTGGAGAACGGAAGTTGCTGTATGGGAAATATCAATAAAGGAGGTGGGAATAATTGTGTCCCATTGTCAAAAAGGGCAGAAGTGAATCCGATTGGGAGCATAGTCTGTATCTCCAATACAAAATAGCCAAGCGCTTTGAGGCTAGGCAGCTACAGTGTGGGAGAAAGCATCTCCTTTGATGGTCAATGTTTAATCTAAATAAAACCCTAAAGAACTGCGGACGCTGTAAATCAGGAACAAAAACAGAAGTTGCTGGAAAAGCTCAGCAGGCTTGTCTGTGACGAAAAGGCCAGAGTTAACATTTCGGGTCTGATGACCTTTCCTCGGTTCTGATTTCTCTTCACAGATGCTGCAAGACCTGCTTGGCTTTTGCAGCAACTTCTGTTTTTGTTCTAATATTTAGTGTTTAATCTATTGGTCTATACAGTGGGGAATGGAGGGAAGGTACTTTCTATTTTATTCATTTACCGGATGAGGGTATCACTAGCTAGGCCTGCATTTATTATCCACATTTATCCCCAATTGCCCAGAGGGCAGTTAGGAGCGAATCATATCAGTTGGGGTCTGGAGTCACTTGTAGGCCAGACCAGGGAAGGATAGCAGTTTCTTTCCTTAAAGAACATTAGGGAACCAGATGGGTTTTTTTTTTACAACAATGGCTTCATGATCATCATTAGAGTCTTCAATGAATATTCATTTTTATTGAATTTAAACTGTGACAGAATTTGCATCCAGGTCCCCAGAACATTACTGGTGTCTTAGGATTAATAACTCCAGGGATAATGCCACTAAGCCATCGTCTCCTCCTGCTTGACTGCTAACAGTTGTCATCGATTAACCCTCTTTAATGCCTTAAAGATCTTGATAAAAGGACAGGCCAGCCCAATCTGAAGCTCCCTCCTGATCTTAGTTTGAGTCAAAGCATTGATGTAAAAACCATAGAATCCCTACTGTGTGGAAATAGGCCCTTCAGCCCATACTGAGCCTCAGAGCATCCCACCCAGACCCATCCCCTCTAACCTGCACATTATGGGCAATTTAGCATGGCTAATCCACCTAACCTGCACACCTTTGGACCGTGGGAGGAAACCCACACAGACACAGGGAAAACGTGCAAACTCCCACACAGACAGTCACCCGAGGGTGGATTTGAACTCGGGTCCCTGGTGCTTCAAGGCAGTGGTGCTAACCACTGAGCCACCATGCCACCCATGTAGGGGGTTGAAACAAAAATTAAGTTTGCAGAATTGGCCACTTTCGCATGGCATGGCTGTTAGGTCATCCGAAATCATTTCTATTGTAGTGTTGATCTTCTTATCGCAGTTTTTTTCAGCTCAAAGAGGGAGATAAACACCGATTTTCTGTCTTGATTTGCGATTTTCCTTCCTCCTGGCCTATCCAGTAGTCTCCGTTTTAACACAGCTTCCTTCTTGTTCCATTGCCCTGTGGTTCTAATTACCCGATTGATGCCCCAAAATGTTTGCCCTATCTCGTTAACTTCCCCCTAATGTAGACCTTCGCCTCAATAAACGCCAGATGATGAGTATCTGAAATTTAAGAAAACGTGTTGGAGAAATGCAGTGGAGAAAGAGAGAGGGCTAGCGTTTCAGGTCCAGTAAAAAACCTTCTTCAAACTTTGACCCAGTTGGAAGCCACCTGTGCAGCTTGATTCACTGGGCCCAGGGTGGTACAGGTGAGGACTGAGTGAGTCACAGATTCCCGACAGTGTGGAAAATGGCCATTCTGCCCATTGAGTCTGCACCGACCCTACAGAGAGCATCCCACCCACATCTAGCTCCAACATGGCCTCTCTGCTCTTGTAATCTGTGCCACAACTGATAAAAGCAAGCATGTCCCTTCAATGGCACTATTAAACTGTCCTGCCGTATTCAGGGATCTGTGAACAAGCAACCCTAGGTCCTTCTGTTCCTCAGAACTTCCTAACGTCCTGCCATTCTTCGAGAACTCCCTTGGTCTTGTTCCTTCTTCCAAAGTGCATCACCTCGCGTTTATCAGGCTTAAATTCCATCCAACACTGATCGTCCCCATCTGAGCAAGCTGTTTATATCCTCCTGACACCTAACACCTTCCTCCTCACTGTCAAACGCCCGGCGAATCTTTGTGTCGTGCACAAATTTAATTATCGTTCCTTCCAGCCTACATTCTGAACTCAACCATTTAGGAATATTGCAAACATTAGGTGGGTCAGATCATTGTGGTTAGAGGAGCTGGACAGATTCACGGCCGTCGATGGCTGTTCCTCAGTGTACACTGAAACTTTACATTCTCATTAGACCTTTCGCAAAATGTCTCTCCTTCGAATTCCTTATCTGTGTTCACAGCTTAAAAATGCAACCTTTATCGTTGTGAGCTGAGCAGAGACTGTCTCATGGGAGTCAGCGACAATGACACACAGTTTTAAGAAAATTGACTGCAGAGCTAAGTGAAAGGTGTTTTTCTTTGTTGATGTCGCAATTGGCATTTGATGCCAGAACAGTTCATTCTAAATCCAAGGTAGATAGATTTTTGCTAAGCAAACGAATTAAGGGATTATGGACCAAAGGCAGTTATACAGAAGTTGGATCACAAATCAGATATGAGGTGACACAGTGGCTCAGTGGTTACTACTGCTGTGCCACTGTGCTAAGGACCTGGAGCTCAATTCCATCCTCGGGCAACTGCCTGTGTAGAGTTTGCATGTTCTCCCCGTGACTGCGTGGATTTCCTCATAAAGTCCAGAGATGTGCAGGTTAGGGTGGATTGGCCATGCTAAATTGTCCCATAGTGCCCGGGGATGTGCAGGTTAGGGTGGATCGGCCGTGCTAAATTGTACCATAGTGCCCGGGGATGTGCAGGTTAGGGTGGATTGGCCCTGCTAAATTGTCCCATAGTGCCTGGGGCTGTGCAGGTTACATGGATTAGTCATGGGAAACATAGGGGGCAGGTCTAGTAGTGATGCTCTTCAGAGGGGCAGTGTGGACATGATGGGTCAAATGGCCTGCACCTGCACTGTAGGGTCTCATTGAATCGCAGACGAGGCTCAAGAGGCTGAATGGCCTTCTCTTGTTACAGTGTTCCTACAGGTTCTTGCCCTTTCAGACAGACAATCCAAGAATCTGGTAAAAGGACGGCTGATAATAAGGTGTGAATAATTGGGTGGCTCAACTGGACAGGAATATCAGGCCTTTGAGTGGGGAGAAATGCAATGTGATTGGAGAACTAACTGTACGGAGCGCTGATGTGTGAGCAAACAGTGGAAACCAGACATTGTTCGAAGCCAGTGATATTAACAAGGGGGTGCATGGAGGGAGAAACAAGTTAGTTCCATGTGGTCTCTTCCTTTAACCATCTTAGCTACGCGGACAATCAGGGAGAAAGGAAAGATCAGTCCATTCCACAGCTCCTTCCTGAATTTAGTTTGTGTCAAGGTGTAAATAAAAGGTATTAATGCAGGAACTCAGGAGCTTCAACATGGTGCTACACTGGTCAAAAATTGCCAATGGGTGTGTGAAATTGGCTGCGCTATAATGAAGATCGGCAATTCGTTCCAGGATGAAATAGATGACATCGGGCATCCACAGTAGTATGAAGCCAGCCGTTACGAAGAAGAGTAAAATGATGGATTTCCTTCGGCTTTTCATCTCCTCATCACTGTTGGCAGCACTGTCCTGGCGTACAAGTCTTCTGCAGGCCAAACTAGCCACCAAGATATGTTTGACAGTGAGACAGTTGAGGAGAAGAATGAGGAGGTAAGGAATGAGTGGTGTCAGTATGTGGTTGACCCAGTCAAAGACAGCCCATTTCAGCATCAGCATGAAGTCTAACTGTACTCTGCAGCCTCTACCTTGTTGGTCTGTGGTGATGATGGGCTCGTACTTAAAGTAATCAGGAATGCTTCTCAAGATGCTCACCACCCAGATGGTAAGGAGGACATTGACTGCTGTTCTCCAGGTACAATATTTCACTTTGAATCCATGTTGGGAGATAGCCACAAAACGATTAACGGTGAAAACAACTGTGGACCAGATCGAACATTCCATGAAAGCAGACTTTGGGAACTCATTGAAGGCACAGAGTTGGGTAGTGACATATAGCAAAGATTTCACGTGGTAATGCACAAGATAATCGAATATCACACAGAACATAATAACTAGGAGATCCGAGAGAGTCATGGCCACCAGATACAGAGTTACAGATTTGGAAAGACCGCAATTGCCTCGACACAGGATTATAATAGTCACAAAATTTGCTGCAAAAAGAAAAATAGGAAAACAAACATGGTTAAAATAAAATTCCAGGGAAATAATATTTAGCATGAATTAATTAGCAAAATATTTGATGATAGAACTCCTGTTTGGTCTGATTTATGTTGAAGTTTATGCCTTAAAGCATTGATTTTGTTCATTACTGGAACAAAGGAATTTTGTTTACATACCAGCGATGATTTGGACACAACAATCTCTAAATCCCAGCATTGGATGTTAATTCTGCTCTCAGGCTGTCAATCTCAAGATTTATGTTGAGATCCTAGTGCATCACTGGTGCAGAGCTACTCTATCATAAGTCATTGGGAGGCAATGGCCTAGTGGTATTATTGCTGGACTGTTAATCCAGAGACCAAGACAGTGTTCTGGAGATGCAAGTTCCAATCGCTGCCACAGCAGATGGTGGTATTGGAATTCAATAAATATCTGGAATTGAGAATCTAATGATGACCATAAATCCATTGTTGATTGTCGGAAAATCCCATCTGGTTCACTAATGTCCTTTTGGGAAGGAAACTGCCATCCTTACCTGGTCAGGTCTACATGTGACTCCAGACCCACAGCAATATGGTTGACTCTTAACTGCCCTCTGGGCAATAAATGCTGCCTAACCAAAAATGTCCCTCATTCTGTTAATGAATAAAGAATAAAGCTCATACATGATCAAGGGGCAACTCCCTCATCTCAATAAAAGCCAAACGTTGTAGGCACTGAAGATCTGAAACAAACACAAAGAATGCTGGAGAAACTCAACAGATCTGTCAGTATCTGTGGCGAGAGAAACAGAGCTAGCATTTTGAGTATTACCTTACTTAGAAGAAGAAAAAAAAGAGAGAAATCTAAGAGTAAATTTTCATTTCATTTGGCAACAAAATTCAGATATTTGTATTTAATATTTAATTGATTTATACATCACCAGAAAAGACCCCACATAGGATGAATCACCCAGTGGTCTCTGCATTTTGGATTCTAATTATTGAAATTATTGAATAGGCTTCACCATCAATTTCAGACATTGCATTCCAAACAAGATGCTGCATAAAAAGGGCCAACAGTATTCCCTGATGCTTCTCTGCAAATTGCCTGCGACATATTCCCCTGGTTCTCCACTGTTTTTCAGTTTCTCCCTAACAACACCTCAATTGCAACATTCTGTAGTTATATATGATTATAACAAAAGATTGCTGTTTATGCTGGAATAGATTCCTTTCCGGTACCGTTCTCTCTCGATATAGAATATTGCTGTGACCTGATTACAGACATAATACCGACAAATGGTTTGACTTTACCTACCTGGAATGCCAATACATGCCAGTACAAAATAGTAATATCCCTGATTACTCATCAGTAATAAGACGAGCCGGATACCCATTCTTGTCAAGGATTAACGGTTCTGATTGGCTTCGAATGGACTAAAGCTGAGTGCAGCAATAATCGAGCATGGTCTGGGTGTCCCTGTTTATAGCAATCTGGGTATCCCATAAGATGAGATTACAAGGTGTAGAGCTGGATGAACACAGCAGGCCAAGCAGCATCAGAGGAGCAGGAAGGCTGATGTTTCAGGTCTGGACTCTTCTTCAGAAAAAAATGAGATCCCATGAGATGATTCTGAATGATAATAACCATGCGCTGTGACTCACGTTCACTAACGCCTGACACTTCCTGCCTCGAGAGCAACTTTTGGAATCAGCGTGTAAGCCTGCGAGGGCAGTATGGTGACTCAGCGGTTAGCACCGCAGTCTCGTGGCACCAGGGACCCAGGCTCAATTCCACCCTTGGATGACGGTCTGTTTCGAATTTGCTCATTTTCCCTGCTGTCCATATGGGATTCCTCCTGCACTCCAAAGATGTGCAGGTTAAGATGGATTGTGGCATGCTAAATTACCCATGGTGTGCAGGTTCGGTGGATTACCTCATTAAATTACTCACAGATGTCCAGGGATGTGCGAGTTCGGTGGATTATCCTCGTTAAATAGCCCATGTTGCCCAGAGCTGGGCAGATAGGTGGATTAGCCAAGGGAAGTGTAGGATTGTAGGGTAGGAGGTGCATCTGGTGGAGGGGATGCTCTTCAGAGTGTCGGTGTAGACTCGATGGGCCGAATGGTCTGCTTCTGCACTGTAGGGATTCCATGATTCTTTAAAACAGTCCTGTGATAGGACAAAGACATTGTCGGAGCAGACTCAGTGACTTAAAAAATGATCACTTCCACTTGAACAACGTACGCATCTATAATAATGCTCCAAAATGGAAGCTAAGAGAATAAAATTCATTCTGGTTAAGTAATCCAAGACATGAAAGGATATTTTGTTATCTCGTTATATTTTGTTTTTGCTCCTGACCCCACAGAAGAGCTAAATGCTGAAGAAAGAATAAAAACTAGGACATCTGAGAGAGCCATGGCCACCAGATACATAGACACTGATTTGGAAAGACCACAATAGCCTCAACACAGGATTATTGAAGAAAAGAGCTGACAATGACAAAAATTAAAAGAAAACTGGGAAAATGTAACAAGCCCGACAGTGTGAAGTAAAATAGACATAATTTGGGGGAAATTTTGGTCTCCTTACTTGAGGGGGGATATGGGTGCACTCGACACAGTTCAGAGGAGGTTCACTAGGTTGATCTTATGAAGAGAGACTGAGCAGTTTATGCCTCTATTCTCTGGAGTTTAGAAGAATAAGAGGAGATCTAATTGAAGTGAATAAGATGCTAAAGGAGATTGACAAAGTAGACATCGACAGGATGTTACCTCATGTGGGGCAATGCAGAATGAGACATCATAGATTCAGGAAAAGGGGTAGCAGATTGAGAGCAAAGATCAAAGTACAGTACAGTACAGCACAGGAACAGGCCTTTAAGGCCGCCAAGCCTGAACTGATACATGATGTCTTTCTTAACTAAAAACCTTCTGCCTCTATGCTGTCTGTATCCCTTTATTCCCTGCCTATTGTAAGTGTCAAGATGCCTCTGAAACATTGCTGTTGTATCTGCCTCTATCATTTCCTTTGGCAGCACATTCCAAGCACTTACCACTCTCTGTGTAAAACAGAAAGTGCCTCTCACATCTCCTTTAAAATTTCTCCTTTTTACCTTAAATCTATGTCCTGTAGTATTTGCCATTATGTACCTTGGGAGAAAGCTTCTGTCTATCTGTTTTATCCACGCCTCTCATAATTCTGTGAACTTCTATCAGGTTGCCCTCTTAGCCTCCAATGTTCAAGAGAAAACAGATCAAGTTTGTCCAATCTCTACTCATAGCTAACGTCCACCAAACCAGGCAACATCCTGCTGAATGGTTTCTCGACCCTCCCCACAACCTCCACATCCTTCTGACAGTGTGGACACCAGAACTGCACACAATATTTTAAGGTTTTGGAGTAGATCTGTAGCTCGGGTTGTACGTGTCGAGGTTGGCTGTCTTGCCGAGCTGGTTTCTTGTTTTGCAGACGTTTCATTACCATGCTGGGTAACATCCTCATTGCAGCCTCCGATGAAGCATCGGTGTGTTTTCCCGCCTGGTTTTTAAACTCTGGGGTCCGTTGAGATGGAGTGCCTCACTTCCGGGTTTCCTTCGTAGAGGAATGTATATAGGGTCAAGTTCAATGTGTTTATTAATAGCATGATTCATGGAGTGCCATGCTTCCAGGAATTCTCGTGCCTGGCTCTGCCTAGCCTGTCCCAGGATTTTGGTGTTAGGGTGGATTGGCCGTGCTAAATTGTCCCATAGTGCCCAGGGATGTGCAGGGTAGACTTCACAAATTTCTGAAGAAGGGTCCCGACCTGAAACATCAGATTTCCTGCTCCTCCGATGCTGCCTGGCCCTGCTGTGTTCCTCCAGCTCCACACTTTGTTATCTCATCACTGGTTCAGGCTAATCCCAGTGCTGCACAGACTCAGCAGATGCGGTGGGACTGACATTTAGAGTCATGGGGGCTGGAGCCACAGTCGAAAGAATGTAACGACTCCCTTGTCAACAACAGGCTCAATCTTCACCATGTCATTTATCTTTACCAGCTGTACAAAAGCCTGGTTCAGCCGCATCTAGATTATTGTGTCTAGTTCTGGTCACCTCATTACAGGAAAGATGTGGAGGCATTGGAAAAGGTGCAGAGGAGATTTACCAGGATGTTGCCTGGAATGGAGGGAAGGGTGAGAGAGCTAGGGCTCCTCTCTTTAGAACGATGAAGGATGAGAGGTGACTTGATAGAGGTGTACAAAATGATCAGAGGTATAGATAGAGTGGACAGCCAGAGACTTTTTCCTAGGGTGGAGGCAGCTTTTATGAGGGGGCATAGTTTTAAAGCGAGTGGAGGTAGATATAGAGGAGATGTCAGAGGTATTATCTTTACTCAGAGAGTGGGAGGGGTGTGGAACGCACTGCCAGAGAGGGGAGTAGAGTCGGCCTCATTAGGGGCATTTAAGCGGCTATTAGATAGGCATATGGATGATAGTATAAGGTAGGGGTGGAGGTTAGATAGACCTTAGGATTAGGGTAAAAGTTCGGCACAACATCGTGAGCCGAAGGGCCTGTACTGTGCTGTACTGTGTTCTATGTTCTATGTCATACTGGAAGTAGCACAGACCGCTTTCCTGTCTAAGCAGATGTGATCGGCGGCGCAGAGTTCATAAGCGTTAGCGAACTTACCCACTTATAAACTTCGAATACTTGTCTCTGCTCGGGGCGGCAGATCAATTCTCGAGTCTTATTCTTATTAATATTAAACTGGAGAGGGTTCGGGAGAGATTAACCAGGACATTGTCAGTAATGCCTGGTTTCAGTTAATAGACGAGGCTGGGGCTTGTTTTCACTGGAGCGTAGGACATTGTGCGGTGACCTTATAGAAGTTTATAAAATCATGACGGGTATAGATACAGTTAATGGCAGGTGTCTTCACCCTAGAGTGGGGGATTCCAAGACTTGAGGGGGGAACATATTTTTAAGGTGAGAGGAGAACGATTTAAAAAAGACATGAGGGGCAACATCTTTTAACACAGAGAGAGGTTTGACTGTGGAATGAACCTCCAAAAGGAAGTGATGAATGCGGGCACAGTTACAACATTTAAAAAGACATTTAGACAAGTACATGTATAAGAAATGTTTGGAGAGATATGGGCCAAGTGCAGGCAGGCAGGACTACTTTAATTTGGGATTATGGTCAGTATGGACTGGTTGGACCGAAGGCCCTGTTTCTGTGATGGATGGCTGGATGGCTCTATGACTCTTCTAAGGACGAGACTGGCTACTAAGACGTGTTTGAAGGTGGAACCAATGAAGAGAAGGATAATGACTGATGCTCCCCTGCAGAGGGTGGCACAGTGGCTCAGTGGTTAGCACTGCTGCCTCACAGCACCAGGGACCTGGGTTCGATTCCACCCTCAGGTAACTGTCTGTGTGGAGTTTGCACATTCTCCCTGTGTCTGTGCAGGTTTGCTCCGGTTTCCTCCCACAGTCCAAAGATGTGCAGGTTAGGGTGGATTGGCCGTGCTAAATTGCCCATAGTGTTCAGGGATGTGCAGATTAGGTGGGTTTATAGGGGGATGTGTCTGAGTGGGATGCTTTATAGGGGGATGTGTCTGAGTGGGATGCTCTGTGGGTCAGTGTGGACTTGTTGGGCCAAAGGGCCTGTTTCCACGCTGTAGGGATTCTATGATCTATGACTTCTTGAACAAGTGACGCCAATATGCAATTCGCACAGGCCATCCTGTAAGAATGAGAAAGCCTTTCATTGAATTGGCAGTGCCTACGTCTCCTGACATTCCTTGCCATGTCCTCAGAAGTGTTGCAAATGGAACTGTTTTGCGAACAAATTGGGTGATATTGCCAGGGGAACTTCTAGCTGCAGAAAGTGCTCCTTATCATGTTTGAGCACTCGTTGTCATGGTCAATCCCTCGCTATCGAAAATGATCGTCCACCCAGGCAATTCTGTGTAGTTGGTCACGGGTTCGGAGGGTCCTTCTGTAGCTGAAGACTCCAATCCTACAACTGCATCTCCCACCACACATTTGTTGGTGTTTGCGGGAGATGCAAGCGGTTCCGAGATCGTTGGAGTTCCTTTCTCTGTTTCCTTTTGCGTCTTTCCTCCTGGCGATGAGTGATCTGGAAGGGTTGTGTCCTTTTACACAGGAATTTCCTCAAAGTCCGTTTCCTCTAAACAAGGGTCTCCCTCATGTTGACGTCAATGTTGCATTTCCTGAGGGAAGTCTTCAGGGAGTCTGTGAAAGACTTCCGTTGTCCTCCTCTCGTTCCAGTACCTTCCTTGAGCTGGGTGAAGATGATTTGCTTTGGCAGTTGGAACTCGAGAAACCTAAACACGTGGCCGGCCCATCGGAGTTGGTTTCACATCATCACAGCCTCGATGATGGTGCT